ATTAATTAATTCTTGATTATCAGTGATCGAATTAATTAATGGACATTATATCTTAACCATGGGGAGGTAAATCTGATAATTATAATAAGGAGTCTCAAATGTAATTTGGGATAGGTGAGGGGAGTGCAATAATATTATTGTGGTGGACTTTAATATTATTAATATATTAATTGTGGGGTTGCTCCACAGTATTAATATATTAGAAGCCCTTTCTTCTTTTGATTGCTTGATGCTGATGAGAGCATTTTGACATTCTTCGGTCCATTCGAAGCGCTTTCCTCTTTTTATTGCTCCGAAGAAAGGTCTGCAGCGATCCGTGGATTTGGAGATGAAGCGGTTGAGCGCAGCGAGTCAACCAGTTAGGGCCTGAACACCCTTAACCGAAGTCGGGGGAGTCAGGTCTTGAATGGCTTTTATCTTGGCCGGGTTGGCTTCAATTCCGCGCTGGCTGACCATATAGCCCAAAAATTTTCCAGATTCAACTCCGAAGGTGCATTTCTTGGGGTTTAAAACCATGGAATAAGATCGGAGGATATCAAACATGCCTCGAAGGTGTGTTATATGATCTGAAGCGTGCACCGACTTGACAAGCATGTCATCAACATAAACTTCCATAGTATGACCAATCATCGTGGCAAACATTTTGTTGACAAGGCGCTGATAAGTGGCTCTGGCGTTCTTCAACCCAAACGGCATCATGGTATAGAAGTACAAGCCTCGTGCTAAATAAAACGAGGTGTGCTCGGAATCTTCGGGATCCATAGGAATCTGATTATAACCGGAGTATGCATCCATAAAACTCATTAACTCGTGTCCCGACGTGGCGTCAACCATGTAGTCTATGTGTGGGAGTGGGTAACTGTCCTTCGGACACGCCTTGTTCAAGTCGGAAAAATCAATACACAGTCTCCACAGACCATTGCTCTTTTTGACAAGAACGGGGTTTGAGACCCATGTCGGATATTTGGCCTCTTTGATGAATTTGTTATCGATGAGTTTCTTAACTTCTTCTTCCAATGCTTTTTGACGGTCCGGCCCCAGTTTCCTTCGTTTCTGAACAACAGGCCGGACAGTTCGATCGAGGTTCAACTTGTGACTAGCGACACCGGGGTCGATGCCCTTCATATCTTCGTGCTTCCAGGCAAAAACATCAGAATTGTGTTTAAGAAATGAAATAAGATCTGACCGGAGAGGTTCTTGAAGATGACTCCCGATGCGCAATGATTTATGGAAGATTGGTTCATCGATAAATATTAATTCTACTTCTTCTCCAGGTTCGGCTCGATCATTTCGGCTTTTTTCCTTGAATTGGGCCCTCGGGTCCAACTCGTCCTCCTCAAGGAGTGGTTCCTTTCCAGGCCGTCGATCTCGGTCTTCAGTTAAAGGATCCGAAGTGGGAAAAGCAACGACGTTGTGGTTCGGTTCTTCGAACACTGCGTCGTCCGAGACGTTCTGTAATGGAGAATTTTCATTATTACCCGTCGAGGTGGAATGGATTCCGCTGGATGGTATGAATGTGACAAGTTCCCGAGCTTCTCTCTGGTCTCCGAAGTGCGTCCCATCTCCTCGTGTAGTCGGGAATTTTAGTGCATAGTGAAAGATCGAAACCGCAGCTTGAAGTTTATACAATGTTGTTCTGCCAATGATGGCATTATACTCATTGTTGATATCAAGAATTTTGAAAGTCTCCATGACGAGTTTGGTGACGTTCTCCGAAGTACCAAATCTGACTGGTAAAGTGATCTCGCCGATAGGTTTTGAAATACTCCCGTTGAATCCTTGTATTTGGTCATTTCAAGGTCGGATGTCGGCGGGATCGAGACCTATTTTGTCGAAAGCTTTTAACATCAAAATGCTCGAATAGGCCCTAGTATCTACCATAACACGATGAACGGGAATTCCGCATATAGGGACAGTGATAACAAGCGCATCGGAATGAGGGTGTGCGAAATGATTGGCGTCCTCCATGTTAAAGGTTATGGGACAGTTCCGATTGTTGAGAATATCTCTCAAATTGGTTGTGTAAACTTGTTTGCCGGAGTTGTACGCTTGTCGGGCATAGGCTTTGATTTGTCGACGGGATAATGTACTCTGGGAGTTATTGGTGTTGACACGGTGGACGGTGATTTGCATCGGTTCAGGAGATCGATCTCGCTTACGTCCTCGGGGAGTTCCAGCAGAGTTGGAAGTGGGGGTTTCCGAGGTGAGCATAAATACTTCCTTGTCTCCTTGCCGGATGCGTTTTGGCATGGCGCCGCGATCTTCCTCGTCGTCTTCATCATATGATTCAATCTGACGCCCTGGACCTTGTCTCTAAGGGTCGGTATTGCGGTAGAATTTTCTAAGCTGCGGATGACCAATTAAACGTAACAGGGCAGCTAACAAACTTAAACATTCATCTGTATTATGCCCTGGCGATTTATGATAATCACAATATTGGGACTTGTCCAATTTCTCTTCAGGCATCCGAAGTGGTTTGGGATCCGGTAGGATACCTTTCCCTTTGATTTCTTCATATATGGTGGCTGCCCCTGCGGAATATACGGTTTGATAACCGGACTTCACATCGGTAGCATACTGTTTTCGAGCTGCTCGAACTTCAGGATCGTTAGGATCTCCACGAGGAGGACCTCTGAACTGAGTCTTGCTTTGTTTTTCGAAAAATTTGTTTTTCTTTTTCTCGTCGGTTCCCGCCTTGGATGACTTCGGGTTAAAGTTAAAGTCGGGGACCGACATGGCTTCCTCGGCTATGATGTGCTTCTGAGCTCGAGCAAGAAATTCTTGAAAAGTGTTTGGTTTATTTTGACATAATGTCCAGCGGAAAATCGAATTCGATTTTAGCCCGACAATAGCCATGACAAGCAGGGTTTCGGGATGACAAGGCTCCATATTCTAGACTCGGTCGTTAAACCGTGCGATATAGTCCTTGACACTTTCGTCATCTTTTTGGGTTACGTTTGCAAGAGATTCTTTTGGAATTATGCAGACTTGGGCCCCGATGAAATGTGTTCGGAACGCCGACCTCAATTGTTTCCATTTCCAAATAGAGTGATGAGGAAGAGAATGGTACCATTTTTGGGCCCGAGGTCCCAATGTGAGAGAA